TCAGGCTAGGTGAGGCCACTCTGTTACACAAGCTCATTGACAGTACTAGACTGGCCCTTACCCAAATTGCAACCGTAATACGTTATGATACTAGGGCAGGGAGAGTTACTGTTGGTCTCTGATTAAACTGCAAAAGCTCCAAGACAGCAGTGATAGCATTTGTCTTATTCTTTGTCATACCCACAGCACTTAATGCATAGAAGGAGCTCAGTACATTTTGCTGGATAAATGAGAGTTGATCTGCTGAGTGTAAAGCTATCTGGAAGGGCTTATTTGGAAGAGTGGGGTGTCACTTCCCTCACAGGGGTGACCCCAAGATAGCCACTGGAGACCACAGAGGGTGGGAATGGTGAACCACATACAGTCAGTGCTCCAATAGGAGAAGCAAATGAAAAGTGGCAGCTGGGGAAACTCTGAAGCCTGACAGTCCCATGGGGGTGACCAGGGCCATGATGCTGGGAGAGAGGCCTATACAGGTCATGCATGTTCCAGGGCAGCAGGAACAGGGCCTGTATTTGTATATTTGCATATCCAGCAAAAGATCCGTATTTGTATATCCAACATTTGCATATTTGCATATCCAACAAAAGGCCTGTATTTGCATATCCAACAAAAACAGATCCTGAAGGGAAATAGCTGCTTAGGGGTGTTTGTCTGTTTGAGACGGGGTCTCACTCTGTCACTCAGGCTGCAGTGCAGTGGCACGATCTCGGCTCACCGCAGCCTCCACCTCCCAGGTTCCAGCTATTCTCCTCCCTCAACCTCCCGGGTAGCTGGGATTACAGGCATGCGCCACCAAGCCTGGCTAATTTTTGTATTTTTAGTAGAGACGGGGTTCCGTCATGTTGGCTAGGCTGGTCTCGAACACCTGACCTCCCGAGGAGGTGATCCACCCACCTCGGCCTCCCGAAGTGCTGGGATTACAAGCGTGAGCCACCATGCCCAGCTGCTTTTTTAATATCTCTATACTTCCCACACATACCGCCTTCAAGAGGCTTGTGATCTACCTGTAGAGACCTTTGTATGCCTGTTCCCAAAGCAGACACACCAAAAACCCTAGTCTAGTACTTGGCAGACAGTAGTTCCTGAACACCTACCAAGCCAATGATTGAGAGGCTCACTCAGAGAGGATTTCGCCCAGGGCTGCCCCATCAGGCTTGGTGGGTTGCTCAGTGTAAGACTCCAGGGAGGTCCCTGCATACTCCACAAAATCAAAGTCAATGGCACAGCCCAGAAGCTTACATCCCATCAGAGCAAAAACAGCACTCAAGTTTCCTCCATTCTGCCAAGAAAAAGAACGGGAACTTGACTAGAAAACAAAGTCAACCAAATAACTGAGGTCTGTAGGGGATTAATGCAGTATAATTAAAGGGAAAAAATACTAGAGCCCCATTAGCTACAGATAAATTAAATGCTTAACAGAAAAAGTTCATTTTCAGAAACTACGTATTAAGGGATGGAATAATTTTCACAGTCTTGAAACATAAAGCTCAAGAGCATACAGAGAGGTCCCGAGACAGGAGTTTTCTTGCTCTGAGTGAAAGGCAGGGCCACGCGCGCTGGACCGCCGCCTGTTAACCCAGCACTTTGGGACGGCCGAGGCAGGTGGATCACCTGAGGTCAGGAGTTTGAGACCAGCCTGGCCAACATGGTGAAACCCCATCCTACTAATAAAATACAAAAAATTAGCTGGACGTGGTGGCAGGTGGCCTGTAGCCAGCTACTTGTGAGAAGCAAGGAGGAATTGCTTGAAAGCCGGGAAGGTGGAGGTTGCAGTGAGCTGGAGATCATGCCATTGCACTCAGCAGCCTGGGGTGACAGGGCCAAGACTTCTGTCAGAAAGACAGAGAGAGGATGACGAGAGAGAGAGAGAAGGAGGAAGGGAAGGAAGGAAAGGAAGGAAGGAGGGAGGAGAGGAGGGAGGGAGAAGGGAAGGAAAGAGGAGGGAGGGGAGAGGAGGGGAGGGAGGGGAAGGGAGGGGAGGGAGGGGAAGAGGGGAGGGGAGGGGGAGGGCAAAGGCAACAAAGCTTAGGAATGTGGGTGCAAATAAATTTCACAGGTTTGGTGGTCAGAAGTTTGAAGGTGTTTCCAACTTACAGCTCCATTTTCACTGTAGATA